AATTATTTTAAGACATTTTTATGTTTAACATTCTTTTTATAGATACAAATATTTAAGTAAATGTTCTGTTTATAATAAACAGTATTAATAACATTTACCGGCATGAATGTCCGAGAAATGTTCATGGATAATATGCGTCCTCCGACAGGAATCGAACCTGCATCTTATACGGAACTGTGATATAACCTAACGTGCTTTACCGATTAAGCCACAAAGGAGTGTTTCGGTAAGCAAGTTCGATTTTACTGTTTTTAAACTACAATTCTCCATGATTTTCTCTGAGGCTATATGGTGGTTCCATGAAGGACGGTAAATGACGTTAATCCTGTTTATTATAAACAGAGCATTTACTTAAATATTTGTATCTAAAAAAAGAACGTATAAACATAAAAAAGTCTTAAAATAATTGTCGGACTTTGTCCATTTCATAATGTGTGACGTCATTTGTTTACATTTGGATACGTCATGAGCGGATATGAATGTACGTGAGAGATTCAAGGAAGATTGAAATTTAAATACAGTAAAATTGACCTTGCTAACTGAACGCTCCTCTCTAGCCAAATCGGTTAAAGGCATGTCAAGCTAAATGACGGTTCCGTATAGGATACAGGTTCGAATCCTGTCGGAGGACGAAAATATTCTGTGAAAATTTCTCGGACATTCAGGCCGGTAAATGTTGTTTAATACTGTTTATTATAAACAGAGCATTTACTTAAATATTTGTATCTAAAAAAGAACGTATAAAAATAAAAATGTCTTAAAATAATTGTCGGACTTTGTCCATTTCATTATATATATATATATATATATATATATATATATATATATATATATATTACTAGCGTTCGTCCTATACAAGGCTTTACTGAAAGATTTTGTTCGTAAGAGTTAAAAGAGGCGCTATTTAGGGAAAGATAAGGGTTAATCTTAGATGAACAGGTTAAGATCCCAGAGGTAGAGAAAGCATCTACCTGGGAGCAATGTTTCGTGTACCTTACTTCTAAATATGGCAATACGAAAGTAATGTGGGTAGTTAGCCTCTGTGCAACGGGCGTGATGGGTCGTAGCTGTCAGGCTTTGAGTTGATGAAATTAAGAAATATTACTCGCCTGAACATTTTCCATGGAAATTGCTATCGAATAGTTAGAAGCTTGCAAGGTTTCATCTTTAAAATAGATGGAGGAGGAGCGTAAGGATAAACATAGGTAATGTACATATATGTATATATATATATTAAAGACATTTTTATGTTTAACGTTCTTTTTATAGATACAAGTATTTAAGTAAATGCTCTGTTTATCATAAACAGTATTAAATAACATTTACCGGCCTGAATGTCATAGAAAATATTCGTCCTTTGACCGGATTCGAACCGGCATCCTATAGGGAACCGTCATTTACGCTGACGTGCCTTAACCGACTCGGCCACAAAGGACCATTCGGTAGGCAAGGTTGAATTTACTGCTTATAAACTTCAATCTTCCATGAATCTAGTACATTCATAACATTCATGGCGTATCAAATGAAAACAAATGACGTCATATATTAAGAAATGGACAAAGTCCGACAATTTATTTATTAAAGACATTTTTATAAAAAGAACGTTAAACATAAAAATGTCTTTAAAAAATGTCCATTTCTTAATATATGACGTTATTTGTTTACATTTATTTACTTAAATACTTGTATCTATAAAAGGAAGGTTAAAAAAAAATGTCTTTAATAAATAAATTGTCGGACTTTGTCCATTTCTTAATATATATAATATATGTCCATTTCTTAATATATATAATATATATATATATATATATATATATATATTTGTCTATTTAGACAGATATCATTCTTTCATGCACATTTCGTTGAATACGACAGAAAAGGTGCTTTGATTTAGTTTTTTAGACAATTTCTCATGTGATCTAATAAGAATTTTTTTTCAGATGATAAATTTTATAAAAACTATCTAATTTTTCTTTTTATCCGAGCTTTTTAGCTATGCATTTAGCCATTTTCAAAGTTGAAAAATATTAGCTTTTAACAAGAAATAGATTGTTGTATCTATGCATTTATAAAATGTTTTCATTTTCAACAAAAGGTCAAGATATTGTCAATAAAATAGCATCATCTACATGCAAACTAAGTTTAAAAATAATGGAAAACTTATTAATAAAAACAAAAAAAACAACACTCAATAATATCAACTATGAACATGGACATAATATCTTGACCGTGTTTTGAAAACGAAAACATCATATAAATACATACCTGCAACAAACTATCGTATAAAATTAATAATTGAACAGTTTTTACATAATTTATCATCTGAAAAGAAAAAATTAGATCACAGGTGAAATTGTATAAAAATCTAAATCAAAGCACCTTGTCTGTCGTTTTCAACGAAATGTGCATATATATATATATTTATATATATATATATATATATATATATATATATATATATATATATATATATATATATGTATGTATGTATGTATATATTTGTGAAAATAAAGACAAAAATTGTCCAACATTTGGACATTTTTTTTATTATTAAATTGGTCCTTGATCTAAGCTTTAGGCTCACTTGAAGATGGCTTTTTGGAATCAAAAATTTCAGAATTGCGGGCCCGGATCCAATCCAGAATGTTTTAATTTGCTCACGAAGTCGTCCTGATTCCAAAATGGTATAACATGTTGAGCTACGGCCTCTAGAAATAATTTTGAAATGGTGTGACACACAGACATGCGCATTTATTTATATAGAGGTAGATCATAAGCATTTAAGTGGTATACAACATAGCCTCGGCCCACCCAATCGGAAAGGAAAAAGAAAATTAACTAGTTCATGCTTTTCGAGTTTTGAATTATGATTCATTTTAATCATTTCACCACAGAGAAGGTTATAAAGCCACTCAGACGCAAGGGTTTACTTAGTGTGTGAGAATATGAGAAATAGACAAAAACATATTAAGGTGACAGTACAATAAAAGAACAGGAATTAAGACAAAAGATAAAAATATTCATTTTTTGTAAATCAAAGTTGACTGGAAAACAAGAATCTGAAGCAGAGTTCCACAGGCAAGAAGTGAAAGAAGAAAAATTTAGCATAGAACTTACGGTTACATTTTGCCAATTCAGCAGTAAATTGGTGAGACCTTTTTGGCAATTTAGTACAGCGGTTAAATTCATAAAGTTTACGGGCCAAAGATGTAAACTCTTCAGGACACTTACCATGAAAGTATTTATAGAAAAGAGTCACGGCAGTAGGAGACTGACTGAAGTCGAGATGCCAGATGAGGACCAATAACATGGCAGATTCTTCTTTGTATTCTAGTATCTCTAAATAAATAGCATAAGTACACTACTGGTCAAAATGTTAAGACCAGATACAAAAGGGTTAAAACATATAAAATACTGTTACTTTAATCGAAATGTCTTTGCGAAATAAATACATTTAATTAGAAAGTGGAAATAAATACATTTAATTATAAAGTGGAAATTTTATGCTTTTATGCTTGATATTTTAGAAGCATACATATCTGAATTTTTAATGAAGTTAGCAATGCCAATTCTCTTACGGCCAATTTCATTTACAATGGCTCGTTGCGAAAGATCACGTCTTTGAAGTTCAATAATCCTGCCCTGTTCGAACTTTGTTAAAATTTTACCCTTAGCCATTTTAAAATCTGAAATTTAATGCTGGTAATGACCCAAATAGATATCTACACGCCTGAAGCCATGAGCACACTGACTAGTTCAAACATTTTTGTCAAGTAATTGTTTTTCAAAGATGGTCGTATCTTAATGACCAACCAAAAAATATTTTTTCAATATTTGTTTAAATTAATCAATTAAAACCTTAAAATTGTCATTGTTTTTGATAAACTACATTTTCGAATTAAATATAAGTGTTTCGCAAATATATTTAAATTAAAGTAACAATATTCTATATTTATATATATATATATTATATATATATATTATATTTTAATATATTTTTTATATATTATACTTTGTATTTTATATTTTTATATATTTAATGTATATTTAAAAAAAAAATATTGTTTTATTCTCTCTCTCTCTCTCTCTATATATATATATATATATATATATATATATATATCAATTTTTATATATTTTTATATTTTATATTTTTCTAGATATTTTATATATGTATTTCTATATTTCTATATATATTTTCTATATTTCTATATATATTTATCTATTTATATATATTTTATATTTTTATATTTTCATATTCTATATTTTTATATAGATTTTATACATATATTTTTATATTTGTTTATATCATTTTTATATTTTTTTAAACTCTTTTCTATCTTGTTTTAAGATTTTGAACAGGTCTGTGCCAGAACACAAAAATGTGACAAGAAAAATATATACATGGACGAATGGTAGATTTATGAATGTGTAAGACAGAATTCTATCGACAAAATTGTCTAGCTGTGCACAGAAATGCAACTTTTCTATCATGGGCACTTGTCAAATTTAAAATCTTGCATTATTTAATTTCCTTATAATTAGCAAGTGACAAGCCATATTTTCATGATTAGTAAAAGATACAATTGTAATTTTTTATTTCTGTTTAAAGAAAAATACTTATCAAATTTACAATATTTATCAAGAAAATTATGTGCTATGATATATATTTATAATATTTTCAATTGCGGGTTTAAAAATGTCACGGCTCTTATGATGTGACAATGACCTGGCTTAGGAGTGGTGAGTTAACGAAGATGGGAGTATCAGAATTTAGGCAACTAGTCAGACAAGAAAAACGATTTGAAAATGAAACAAGAAAAACAAAGAAAGAAAAGAAATTAGGAAATGTGGAGTACTGAAAAAAAAACGAGACAAAAAGTAAAAAAAGAAAGAATATAAAACATTGGAAAATTAAAGAAAGAAAGAAAGAAAGAAAGAAAGAAAGAAAGAAAGAAAGAAAGAAAGAAAGAAAGAATATAAAACAGTGGAAAGGCAAATCAAGAAAGAACGAATATAAATGCATTGGAGAAGGCAAAGAAAGAAAGAAAGAAAGAAAGAAAGAAAGAAAGAAAGAAAGAAAGAAAGAAAGAAAGAATATAAAATATTGGAAAGGCCAAGAAAGAAGAAAGGAGGAAAGAAAGAAGAAGACGAAGAAGAAAAGAAAGAAATAATATATTATAGAAGGCAAATAATGAAAGAAAGAATAAAAGAAAGAATATAAAACATTGGAAAGGCGAAGAAAGAAAGAAAGAATAAAGGAAAGAAAGAAAGAAGTAAGGAAAGAAAAAGAATATAAAACATTGGAAAGGCAAAGAAAAAAGAAAGGAGGAAGGAAAGAAAGAAGAAGAAAACGAAGAAGAAAAGAAAGAATAATACATTATAGAAGGCAAGTAACGAAAGAAAGAATAAAAGAAAGAATATAAAACATTGGAAATGCAAAGAAAGAAAGAAAGAAAGAAAGAAAGAAAGAAATAAAGAAAGAAAGAAAGAAGGAATGAATATAAAACATTGGAGAGAGCAAATTGAAAAAAGAAAGAAAGATAGAAGAATAGAAAGAATGAACAAATGTGAAGAAAGAAAGAAAGAAAGAAAGAAAGAAAGAAAGAAAGAAAGAAAGAAAGAATATAAACACATTGGAGAAAGCAAAGAAGAAAGAAAGAAAAATAAACACTGATCAAAATGATTGGAAAAAAGGAAAGAAGCAATATATAAACAAATATTTTAACGTCAAGTAATTACCAATCTGAATTAAGCTATTTTCCAGACTCGCAGAGCGACCTTTGCGGACACCATATTAAATTTCAAATCTTGCCAGAATAAGTTACCTTGACCATTTGAAAAGAACATTTCAATTTGTACGTTTGTTTACTTTGTATTAAATATATTTTCCCCGACTTTCGTCTTTTTACAAAAGCGTAACAAATTTACTCGAAAGTTATTCATAAGCAAATATGTTTCCATTCAGAGCATGCGCACATTCACAAAGACTTGTATTTCACTTTTTTCTTGAATAAAGGTTGTACTGTGACGGCTTCTGGAGCCTAAACCTGTGCGTTTATGATCAGTAGCTAGTGTGTGAGGGTGAGAAAAAAAAACCTGCAGTCAGTCAGTCCCAAATTACACCCACACGTAAAGGCTAAACGCCATATGACCAAAACATCAGGCATTATTCTTTTACGTTTTTCCATTCACTAGGCTAGCTTTTGCCGTCTTTTTCAATCCGTGTCCATTATTGTTTTGTTTTGTTTTTTGGGGGTGTTTTGTGTGTTATTATTTTTTTAATTTTTTTTCTTTTTGGTTGCGTTCCTCTGATTATCTTCATGGCGTTCTGGCTAGCAGTGTGCATTTCCTTGTCCTACCAAGATCACCAGCGAACATAATTATATATTTCTCTCCTTCTCTTCCCGGTCCACTTTGTGACAATCAGTATCTGGATGGACGGTAGACACATTCCAATCTTACAGTTATTCGCTAACCTATGACGTCAGGGGAAATGTCTCTGGCTAGAATTTTCCCGCCAACAAACGTCCTGAAATTTCTTCTTCCTCGATATTTCCCTCCTCCTTTATTTTTTTTTTTTTCGTTTTACCTCACATTTTTTTGTGTCCGCGACTCTGCATGTCCAGCCATAGAACATGCCTGACCATTTCGGGCGTCGTTTCTATATATATGCGTGAAGAATTGCATTGTGCTCATGCATGATTGCGCTTGTCCCTTCGTACACGTATGTGAGTGTGTATAGGGGTGGAGTGTGTGTGTGCGTGTGTGTGTGTATGTGTGAGCAGGTGTTTTTGTTTGGATATATATGTATTTAAACATGTAGGTATTTCTGCGGTGAAAGAAAGAAAGAAAGAAAAAACAAACAAACAAGGAAAGAAAGAAAGCATAGACGTTGATAGAAAAGAAGGAAGGGAGGAAGAGAGAAAAAGAAAGAAAGAAAGAAAGAAAGAAAGAAAGAAAGAAAAAAAGGCGTAGATAAAAAAGAAAAGAAAGGAAGAAAAAAGAAATAAAGCCCTGCATAGAGAGGAAAGAAAGAAAGAATGAAAGATGCGGAAAGGAAAATTAAGGAGGAAAGAAAGAAAGAAAGAAAGAAAGAAAGAAAGAAAGAAAGAAAGAAAGAAAGAATAGCCGTCCATAGGAAAGGAAGGGAGAAAGAAAGAAAGAAAGAAAGAAAGAAAGAAAGAAAGAAAGAAAGAAAGAAAGAAAGAATGGCGTAGATAAAAAAGAAAAAAAAGGAGGAAAAAAGAAATAAAGCCCTGCATAGAAAAGAAGGAAAGAACGAATGAAAGATGCGGATAGGAAAATTAAGGAGAAAATAAATTAAGAAAGAAAGAAAGAAAGAAAGAAAGAAAGAAAGAAAGAATAGCCGTCCATAGAAAGGAAGGAAGGAAGAAAGAAAGAAAGAAAGAAATAAAGAAAGAAAAAAAGAAACAAACAAACAAACAAACAAAAGAAGAAAGAAGAAGGAGTAAAAATTGAATTGTAAAAGAAAGAAAGAAACAAAGAAAGAAACAAAGAAAAAAGAAAGAAAAAATAGACGTTGATAGGAAGGAAAGGAGAAAGAAAGAAAGAAAGAAAGAAAGACAGAAAGAAAAGAAGAAAGAAAAGAAACGTGAATAGTTAAAGAAAGAAAGAAAGAAACGTATCGACTCAAAAAACATGGAAAGAAAAAAAGAAACGAATCTTATCTCACAATGAATATAACGTGAAAAAGGAAAATGGATTGAAAATACAAATATGCTTTAAGCCTGAAAGAATGAAAAAATAACAACATTTCTGATAAAGGAATTGATAAAGACATTGAAGGAAGGAAACGAATGTATTATAGAAAAAAGAAAGCCAAAGAGGAAATTAAAATCAGAGGGAAAAGAGAAAACATAAACTGTTTCAAATAATCCAAATAAGGACCTTTCACCAAAAACGAAAAGAAACAAAAATGAAAGACAGAAAAAAGAAAAGAAGGTATCGTAGAAAGAAAAAGAGAAAGAAATAAAGAAAAAATGAAGTCAAAAGATAAGCAAGAAAGAATTAGAAGAATTATTGAAAGTTGCTGATAATCTAAAGAAAGGAACAAAAAAAGGGAAGATCGAAATAGTGATATATTAAATAACGTATCGAAGTATGAAGTTAATACATGAAGAATAAGTGATTTTAAAGAAAGCAATGCCAAACAGTCGGAATAAACAAAAGAAAAAAGAAACTGTCTGAATGAGTCAAAAGTAGCGAGAATATTTGGAACAGAATGAAGAAAAGAAAAGAAAACAAAAAAAAAGGGCGTAAGAAAAGAAGGAATAATGCAGAGAATGAAAGAAAGATGGAAGAAATAAGAGACTGTATTGGACGTAGAATGGAACTGCGCTTTCGTATAAACGTTGTCCTGGGCATCAGAATGTGGCTGAGTGCGCCTTTCGCCAGACGCGTCTCGGGTTCTCCCTTTAATGAGTTAGTTGGCTGCTGTATGGACAAATGACCAGACGACTCTCTGCAGCGAAAATCGAGAATGATAAGGGAAGAAAAAAAAAAGAAGAAAAAATACGAAATATAGACACTGAATCGAATATTTTCCACGGAAACTATTCCATTTATTTCACCTATGTTGGATACCTTGATATTTCTCTGAGCAAAACGGATGTATGCTTTGCATATTTCCTCTTCCTGAGTAGCCATACCTTTTGGATATTCTTTACACATATACATCTATCTATCTATCTATCTATCTATCTATCTATCTATCTATCTATCTATCTATCTAAATGTACTAATTAGGATCTTCCGGGAAGCCTTGATGACATTTAACTATACAGGTAAGTGAAACAGTTTTATGTTCTTCTTCGATACACAAATAATAATACGTAGATTCTAAACGCACACACATATATTATAAAAGAAGGACAAAGAAATATAAAAAAGAAAAAAATGGGGAAAATTAGCTTTTGACGTCCAGTCCGAAGAAGCCAAAAATGCATTTTTAACTAAAGGTATTTTCATTTAACCACGTACCAAAGGCGAAGCAATGGAATATTTTAATACAAAAAAAGAAAAATTCATATCATGACGCCATTATAGATATATGTCCACTGTTTAAAATACGGCGTGAAAATTACGGGCAAGCAAGACCTTACATGGCAGGTAATGGCTATTTATTTATATTTTTCTTAATATTTTAATCTTAGTTTCAAAATATTCAGGAAAAGATTCTTTTTAGTATGAAACGTTAAAATGAATAATTTCCTTGTATATATGATTCCCTTTCTATGGTTAATCGTGAGACGATTGTTGTATCTTTATCTCGGAATGCTCTGAATAGCAGACATAACATTGCATTTCTCTGCCTCTTGCATGAGCTTATGACGCAATTCGTGACCCAACGACCCTCTATATTTGATATTCCTATAAATTCGTCTGACCATAATTAACAAAAAAGTAATTGTAGGAAAATATCTTAATCAGACTGATTATAAAAAAAATAATTCATATATCTATCAATATTATATATATATATATATATATATATATATATATATATATATATATATATATATATATGTGTGTGTGTGTTTTTAGATCAAAGAAAAATATATCTAGAAGAGGACAATATAAATATAAAATAAAGATAAAAGGAGAACATATCTGATAAGTTTTCCTTGTGTTTTAATTCATATATATATATATATATATATGTGTGTGTGTGTGTGTGTGTGTGTGTGTGTGTGTGTGTGTGTGTTCATAGAAAAACGATATATACATATTTATATATCAAGAAACATTTTTGGGGAATCTAAATTACAATGTTTGAAACAGATAAAAAAAAGACACTAAACGCAACCGGAAAGATTATATAACAAAAAACATGCATTACTTATTCTCTGTGGGCATGTGCAGTTGTATCATTTTAAGAATGATTTTATTTCGATAAAATCTTAAAGGGCGAAAATGTCACGAACACTTTTTTTCACTTTGTCTTTTTCCTCGTATATTTATATATATATATATATATATATATATATATATATAAAAAAAGAAATATGTTGTAGTGGTTCCAACGAGAGAAAAGTATGTATATTAAAAAGAAGAGGGGTGCCGCAAACGTTTTTGGTTGTAATGTGGATTTATTGAGAAAAAATATTATACTTTGTTTTACATAATTTCACGACACGTGTTTCTGGTCTGGTCTCGCAACCGTCTTCAGGTGAAAGTGGAGATTTTTACATATTATTAAAAATAATTAATTTTTCTTCATGTTCAATGTGGAATATTCTCGATATGAGACATTCTATTTGTGTGTTGGCAATCCGAATTTGCTTTCCATATATATAAATTAATTTTTTTAATGACCCATCTCCCTGACGTAATTTTCTTTGCGCATAATCGCGATTTGGTCCAGAAAATATTATATCTTCTATTGGTGTCATTACATTTTGTATTGCCGCCAATTTTCTTCCAACTCCCTCTCACTCTTTCGTTCTCACTCTCTCTCTCTTTCGCTTTCTCTCTCTCTCTTTCGCTCTCTCTCTCTCTCTCTCTCTTTCTCTTTCTCGTACTTTGTCAATCTATCTGTTTATATCTTACTTCTTTTTATTTTCATGACTTCCATCTCTAGCATTCTCATTAGGGGTGAGCACACATTTTTAGCTCTGTTTGTCAATTTATATCAGTGCTTTTTCGTCATATTATGCCTAGCCAATATCTATCTATCTATCTATCTATCTATCTATCTATCTATCTATCTATCTATCTATCTATCTATGTTCTCTCCATCTCCCTCCCTCCCTCTCTATCTATCTATCTATCTATCTATCTATCTATCTATCTATCTATCTAGATAAGTTCTCATCTCTCTCTACATATATATCCATTTCCGAGGCTCTCTTTGTTTGTTTGTTTGTTAGTTTTTTTTTTATCGAGGTTCTCTTAATCTGTGTTCTATCTATCTATCTATCTATCTATCTATCTATCTATCTATCTATCTATCTTAGTCTTGTAATCTATCTATCTATCTATCTATCTAGTTTCTCTATCTAGCTGTGCAAATAATAATTCAATTTTTAATCACCGATTCGTGAAACGCTGAGATTCATGCATATGGCAATCATCAAGCACGTGCTGAAAACTTTATATCACTCTCTCTATCTCTATCTCTCTCTCTTTTTATATATATATATATATATATATATATATATATATATATATATATATATATATATATATATATATATATATATTATATATATATATATATATTTATTTATAGTTATATATATATATATGTGTCTATGTGTGTGTGTGCTTTATATAGTCATGAGGTTTTTCAATCGCTTAATTTAATATATATATATATTTTGTGTCTGTGTTTGCCTTTATAGTATATATATATATATATATATATATATATATATATATATATATATATATATATACGTTTTAATATATCATTTAATCTTTCTAATTTTCTATCTTTTGCCCTTCCTTTTGTTTCCATGATGTTTCATTTATTTTTCTTTGGTCAAACGAGGTCTTCAGCACTTTCTTCTCATCTTCTTCTTTGTAGCGCTTATCTTTTGCGCCATTTTGATTGTAGAAGACAGATTATAACAGACCATTTTTTATTTGTTACTTTTTTGCATCTCTTCCTTATATCGTCTTCTCATTCTCTCTCTTTACACCCCTCTCTCTCTCTCCTTCAATGTCTTTTTATTACTCTCACCTGCTTTTATATTTTCTCACTCTTTTATCCTTAAACATCTGTATCCCCATATAATCGTTTGATTATTTCCTCCCCATTTTCGCCATTGCCACCCTTTCAAACACATATTTGTCGCGAGGCATTACGTAAAAAAAAAAAAGAAGGAAAAAACTTCCTTGGCGTTATACTATACATTGAAATACCGCCAATATTGACTGGACGCCACTGCTGTGCTTTGTCCAATACAGAAGCATCCCCGGCCACAAGCCTCACATAGTCGGCATTATGCTACACGTAAAAATTGCATGCGTCAGCGAACGGGGATGGGTGGTGGGTGGAGGGCTAACGAACGAGTTGGCTACCTCACACCGGTGGCCATTTTGGCCGGAGATATTGACAGGTTCAATGTCGAGCTTAGTCATCTCTTCCCTTACAAGCAGACTATTACATTGGCATAATCACAAGCGCACACATGTAAGTACACACGCGCATGCACTCAGACACACACACGTGCATATATATATATATATATATATATATATATATATATATATATATATATATATATATACAGAGAGAGAGAGAGATTTTAACCACATACACAATGAACAATATATAAACGCATACACAGGAAGAACGCCACGAATACACACACAGACACACACACACACACACACACACACACATATATATATATATATATATATATATATATATATATATATATATATATATATGTATGAAAAAAAGACAAAAAGTAAAATTTAGTCGACTCGTTTTGTCCACTGCCGGATATTATTTGGTCTGATAAAATCTGTCTGTTTTCTTTTGTCTTTTTTTTTCATATGGTCCTTTTTTACAGATATATCCTATCTGAACTTTTTTACATACGTGCATATATATATATATATATATATATATATATATATATATATATATATATATATATATATATATATATATATATATATATAAAAACGCAAAAACTTTTATATCAATACATACATATGCAAACAGAAGTTGAGCACCACAAGCACGCATATATATATATATATATATAGTCAAAGATATATAGACTGGAAAAGTTCATTTTCTCCATCAAGACATTCATTTCTGTAGTTCACTGCTACCAGCAAGCAGAAATATTTCTTCTCCCGATTATGACCATTTTGGCCGAAACTAATCGAGAAATCTAAATGAAATAATAATAAAAAAAAACGAAAGAATATTAATCTACAACCTAGTGTGTCTGAAGATTTTAATTTTTACTACTTTTATTGTTTTTATATATATATATATATATATATATATATATATATATATATATATATATACATGTTTATATATATATATATATATATATATATATATAACAACAGTTATTTGTCAGTTTTGAATTAGAGCAAAAACATTGGTATTAAAGTAGTATTTATACACGTATAAAGAAAATAAAAAATAACATTCTTAGATTTTAAAAAATAGAAGATTAACTAATCACGCTACCTTGGTTTCAACCTTTCAGCCTCGTCAGGCAATTTGGGCCAAACGATTTTCTAACGTTTTATTATTTATATATAAACGGGCAACGTGAAATGTAATAGAATGGTAGTCGACAAACAAGAGTATTGAAATTATATTAGATGGGGATTAAATGAAATTTACATAAATTTCTCCTGGGTCGTACGAACTCAAAAATAATTTT